AAAAAAAAAAAAAAAAAATTAAAATTAAAAAATAAAAATAAAAAATAAATTTAAAAAACCACAACACTCAGGAAGTCTGGGGCAGGAATTCAGGTAGGAAGCTGCTGCAATACTGCAGGAAATGTGATGGTGAGGCTTAATTCATTCAGCAAATCATTCACTGACCATATACTGTCTATCAGACACTGTTCTAGACACTAAAGATACAGTAGTGAGCAAAGTAGACAAACAATGTGGCCCATCCGGGTGGCTCCTGCCTGTAATCTCAGCACTTTGGGAGGCCAAGGCAGGCGGATCACTTGAGGCCAGGAGTTCAAGACCAACATGACAAAACCCCATCTCTACTAAAGATGCAAAAAAATGTAGGCGGGTGTGGTGGTGTGCCTACAATAACAGCTACTTGGGAGCTGAGGCACAAAAATCACTTGAACCCGGAGGCAGAGGTTGCAGCGAACCAAGATGGCGCCACTGCACTCCAGCCTGGATGACAAAAGAGACAGGTCTCAAAATAAATAAATAAAAAAGCAGACAAAAATCCCTGTGGACGTGGGAGTGTACATTCTAATGGAAGTATTTACTGTCTACCATTTGTGTAGTTCCAGATGTTATCAGTGTTTTATACTTATTATTTCATCCTCATATCCTACCTGTCCATCAGGCAGGTACACTTTCTGTCCTCATTTGCCAGTTGAGGAAACGGAGGTTAAGTAGCTCGTCCAGGGTCATGTTGCTAGTAAGTAGAGCTCAGATTTAAATCCAAGAAGGCCACCACACGTTTAGACACTGTGCTCTCTGACAACACACTGCTAGCCGCCATGCCATGCTGCCTCCACACCATTGGAGGGGCAGTGATGAAATATACTCCTTCAAAATATATCCCTTTAGCACCTACTGTGTGCTAAGCACTGTTAGGCCAGTGTGGCTGCAGCAGAATGATCCAGGGCTACAGAAGAAGGAGGGAGGTTGTTGGGAGCAAATCTTGCAGGACTTTGCTCACCCTGTATAGCCTCTGGTTTTCACTCTCCGTAAGACAGGAAGCCATTGCAAGGCTGTGAGCAGAGGACTGACATAATTTTGACTTAGGTTTTTTTGTTTTGTTTTGTTTTGTTTGAGATGGAGTCTCCCTCTATGCCCAGCCTGGAGTGCAGTGATGTAGTCTCTGCTCACTGCCACCTCCACCTTCTGGGTTCAAGCGATTCTCCTGCCTCGGCCTCCCAAGTTGCTGGGACTACAGGCACGCGACACCACTCCCAGCTAGTTCTTTTGTATTTTTAGTAGAGGCGGGGTTGCACCATATTGGCGAGGCTGGTCTCAAACGCCTGACCTTGTGATCCACCCACCTGAGCCTTCCAAAGTGCTGGGATTACAGGCGTGAGCCACCGCGCCCGGCCTTGACTTAGGTTTTAAATGGACTGCATTGACTGTTGTGTTGACAACAGACTATAGAGGGGGCACAGAGAGCTGTTGGGAATGGTTGTAATTACCAGAAAAGAGAAAAATGATGATGTCTTGAGTAGAAGCTATAAAGCCAGCAGGTTGCACTGATGGATATGGAAAGAGAGGGCTCTAGGCCTCATCTACTGAAAGACATGGAGAAGGAGCAGGGCTTTTGTTTTGACAGGGAGGTGTTTGGAGAGGTTGTTTTGGACAACCAAGTGGATGTTGAATATACATTGATATGCAGATCTAAAGTTCAGAGAAGGACGGGCTGAAGAGATAAATTTGGGAGTTGTAAGTAAGTAGTTTTTTTAGTTTTACTAAGTATTGCCTTTGTCTTAGTATGACTCATTTATTTAGAAGTTTACATAATTTAATTTGTAATATGGCTTGTGTTTTTGTTTTTGTTTTGTTTTGGGCAGGTGCCCGAGGCCCTTGTCATCTTCACTGATTCCAGCTCATGGCTTGTATTTAACAACTGGCTCAAAAAAATTCCTAAAAATTTACTTACTGAGTCTCCAGAGCTCCAATGAGCTGGCTCCAGCACACAGCTGCTCCTTTCTTTCATTCAGCAATTTTACAAGTCCTGATGGCTCTACCTTCAAAACATGTATCTTGGCGGGGCGCGGTGGCTCAGGCCT